AGGATTTCTCGCAAAAATGAAACCTAGCTCCTAGATCCCTCTTTTCATTTGCGAGCCTGATCTCACAAATGCGAGTCTTGCAATTACGATAAGGTTCTCTCAAATACGAGACCTGCAACTTACACTAGCATCAGGCTTGCACTAGCAGTCCCAACATCATCCAAAACACACCTGAAACTCACCTGAGCCCCTCAGGCTCCAATCCGAACATGCACACAAGCATAATAATATCATACAAACTCACTCACTAACTGAAATAATAAAATAACATCAAATATCAAGAATCGATCATCAAAACTCAAAATTTTAACTTTGAAACTCATTTCTCTAATTTTTCACATAAGGCGCCGAAACACACTTGGTTCGCTCGGGACCTCAACCAAACATGCGTACAAGTCCAAAAATTTCATACGAAGTTAGTGGAATCGTTAAAAAAATTATCCGATGTCGTTTACTAAGAATGTTGAGCATGGTCAACTCAAGCCTCATTTTAAGTAAAAAATTATTTTTTTCAAAATTTCTCATAAAAGCTTTTCGAAAAGCAACACGAACCATGCACACAAGTTTTATAACATCAAATGGAGCTATGAGATGTCTCAGAATACAAAAATAAAGGCTAGTCTACAAAATGACTTATCTAGCTGTCACAATTTCGCTCATGTAGCAAGGTTATAGTCTATTCGTATACTTCTTGCTTATGTAGCTCACAAAGGTTTCAGGTTATTTCAGATGGATATCAAAAGTGCATTCCTAAATGGATATATCTCAGGAGAAGTATTTGTGAAACAAACTCCAAGGTTTATCAATAGCAACTTTCCTAGTCTTGTCTTCAAGTTATTAAAAGCCTTGTACAATCTCAAACAAGCTCCCAGAGCCTGGTATAAGAGACTAAGTTCTATCTTGTTAGACCATGGTTTTCAACGAGTTAATATCATACAACTCTGTTTATTTAAACGATCAAACTATGAAAATCTTATTATTCAAATTTATGTGGATGATATTATATTTGGGAGTTGTAATCCTGCTTTATGTGAAAAGTTTTCAAGTATTACAAAAGGAGAATTTGAAATGAGCCTGATGGATGAATTAACTTTCTTTCTTGGGCTGCAAATCAAACAATCATCCAAAGGAATCTTCATTAGACAAACCAAACACATAAAGGAACTTATAAAAAGGTTTGGAATGGAAAATGCAAAATCTAGTGCAACACCTATGAGTCCATCAGCGGCTTTTGAAGAGGACGGTGATGGAAAAAGTGTTAAAGAAACTATGTATAGAAGAATGATTGTATCTCTCTTGTACCTTACCACCAGCCGACCAGATATAATGTTTAGTGTATGCAAATGTGCAAGGTTTCAATCGACTCCCGAGGAATCACACCTTACTGCGGTAAAACATATCATTAGATGTCTTATCAGCACTTCTGAGTTAGGTTTATGGTATCCTCGCTCTGATAGATTTAATCTTACGGATTTCTCAAATGCTGACTTTGCATGTGATAGAAATAACTGAAAAGGCGCTAGAGGGACATGTCAATTATTGAGAAACGGCAAGAAACAAAATCTTGTTGCATTGTCGACTACTGAAGCTGAATATCTTGCAGTTGGAAGTTGATGTACTCAAATTATATAGATTATGCATCAACTTTTAGATTATGATCTTTATTTAATTTCCACTCCTATTTTATGTATAATACCAGTGTTTTTGTCTGTCGAAAAATTTTGTGCATCACTCTAGAGTAAAGTATATAGAAATTAAGCATCATTTTATTCATGATCGTGTTTCTATAGGTGACAAAGCACTAGAACTTATTAATATGGAGTTTTAACTTTCTGATATTTTAACAAAACCCCTTCCGAAAGAAAGATTTTTCACTTTACGCAATCAAATTGGCATTATGCGTTCTCCTTAGAGATTTCTTTTACTTACTTTAATCTTTCTACTCTTGCAAAAATATTGTGTTTCTTTATTCGATGTATGATAGTTTAATAGCTCCATTAATTGCATGACATGATTTCCATAATTAGTTGCTATGTGAACCGCCAAAGCGACTCCTTAGAACAGTCACTTAACTCCCTTTTTCCACCTTTGTACTCCAATCGAGAAAATCCTTCATACTTCCTAGTAGCCTTTTTAATCATCCCTCAACACTCTTCATCATTTCATCACCATCTCTTAAATACTCATCCATTATGGCTAAAGCTAAAACCTTCTCCTCTTCCACACGGCGTAGCCGTCGTTTCTAAAAGACCCAAGCCCCTGAAGAAATAGTTGATCTAGAATCATCCCTTGACTTTGATCCTCTCAAAACCAACAATCAAAGCAGTAACTCCTCTGAAGATCAAGTTTTGATCCAGAAAAGGGCCGGTAAAAGAACCATGGACCAAACCCCAAAAAGTTCTGCATGCAAAAATAGAAAATTGGAGAGTATTGATTTTGGGCCTGAAGATAAGATAACTTCTATGGACCAACGGAGATAAAAGTTTGAATCTTACAAATCAAAGTCCATGACATATGGTTGTACGATAAGTCTCTCTCTTATGAAGGATATTTACTGTGATGTTGTCTCAATTTTTGACTTTCAACATTTCTCTCCTCTATTTGATACTATTGGGAACACTGTGTATGAAGAGCATGTGAGAATGTTCTATGAAAATCTATTTGTGAATAATAAAGAAGACTTGAAATCAATGGTTGAAAAAAATTTCTGCAAAATTTCATGGTTATGATATGTTTGTTCAAAACTCCTGGCCAAAAGACTTTGAAGTCTCTCTGGATGAGGCAAAACTTGTGTTGTCTGAGACCCCCCTGATATTAGCCCTAAGATTTTAAAATTTGAACATCGTGTGTTGGCTCACATGATTGCCACTACTCTTTTACCAAGAACTGTTCTTTTAGATCTTTGACCACCTGAGGCATCTTCATTGTGTATTGTCTTGTGAAAAATAAAAGACATAACTAGTTTGTGTGGACTCGTCAGTACATGCTAGAAAGAATTAGAGAAATCTCATCCTCTACCTCATGTATGTCCTATGGTTTGCTTATTTCGCATATTCTTGAAGTGATGAAGGTAGATTTGGCACTTTTGTCACCTAAGATCATCTTTGGTACATATGATAAGGCATCCTTTTTTATGATGGGCTACACTCTGGTTGAGGATGTATGGGTAAGGTGAATTAAGGCAGCAGAGACACCAGCACATGCTAAACCACCCCTTAAGCCGATAGAGATTCAGTCGACTGATCCTAGCAACTTACAATAAATTCATCAAGGGTTGGAAGGCCTAAGGAGCATGCTCACGACTATGAAGTAGCAAGTAGAAACAATAAGAGAAATTACCAAGAAAACATGTACATATATGGCTAAGCTCAGGATGGACTTTGGATCTACCAAGAAGCAGGGAATCAAGGCATTCCAGAACATGACAGACAAAATAGACAAGCCCACTAAGGTTGTTGAAACCACCTATGACTCTTCCTGCACCAAAGTGGTCAATACCCTAAAGTACTTTCTGGGAAAAAAATAAGGCCTATTGTGTGTTTTGTCCAAAACAATCTTATTTTTGCTACTACATTTATTAGCTTTTCGCTTGATCTGTATGAACTTAGTTACTGTTATGCCTTTGTTGTAGGCATAAAACTATATATATATATATGATATTTGTTTTTGCCTATTCTTGCATTGTTTTGTTTATTCTTGCATTGTTCTTTCCTCTTTGATTGATGTCAAATGGGGAAAAAAGAAAAAAGGCAATAAGTTAGGGAGAGCACAAATTCAACGACACAAGGAATCACCAAACATACAGGGGTCAGGGAAGTATCATCTATATTATTACTCTTTTTGGTTGTCATCATCAAAAAGGGCGAGATTGTTACATTTTGAGTTTCAATGATGACACTATCAATAAAAGAAATACTCATCTCATTCAAATCTGTGCAGGAAAATAAAAAGGAAAGAAATGCAAATGATGCAACTGGTCCATCTAGATTTAAGAAATCAAGACAAGAGGAAGAGAAAACTAATGTATAAGATCTGAGATCATAGGACAATCAAAGGAGCATCAATCAGACAACTCAGCAGATGAAAGATGCATTTATGAACGGAAAAAGATTGAATGATCAACTCTCAATCAACTAACTGTCCAAAAATCCCTCCTGAAGATATGGCAAACACAAGTAAGGAAAGCGAGTTTGGCATATGAATCCAATCCACATCTATTGACTGGATTCAGAGGCATCCCTTTGCTCAAATCTCTTAAAAATTATCTTGTCTCAATCAATGGATATTTTTCAATCTCGCTTGCAAAAAATGAAGATTTTGGTGACTAAAATAACTCAAGACTGGCCAATATGAAGAACTCAGAAAAGTAGAGAACACACGCAACTTCAATACACAAGCCCTCTACATCTTTCTAGTTCTTGGTTAAAACACTGCCTTCTTGAGTTTGCTAGTGTCATAAAAGATAGAAAGAAATAGAAAATAGTCAAGAGGTTGTGTCAAGAACTTGGGAAATATTCAACTGTACATCGTTTCTGTTGAATGAAAGAAAACCACGACTGCTGTAACAAATTATCTTAGAAGAATTAAGAGAACCATTGTGACCCAAGGGAACTGGATGTAGATACCACACTGGTAGATGAAGCAGTATAAAACTTTGTGCCTCATTTATTTCTTTTTGCATAAATATTCGTTACTATTATTTTGCTTTAACCCAGGGAAAAAGAGTCGACTATTAAAATTAGTCACCTAGATTTTTTGACTAATTCACCTCGCCTCTTTTGTGTTTCAATTACTGCAATATTGAATGTAGTAGTGTTGTGAAAAGATATGGGCAGCTAGTCGTAAAAGGTTGTTTGCTTTCTTTGTCGTCTTTTCATTCGAAATTATCTCCTTCACTTCCATCACCTCACTGAAAAGAATTCAACAATATTAATCATTTCCTGTGACCGAACTTTAGGCAAAAGTCATCAAGAAAACCTCGAGTAGTACTCTCTTGCAAATATTAGTAATACGGTTATAGAAGTCCATTTATTCAATTCGTATGAACACTTGTTACATTGTTGCTTGAAAAATACAAAGCTCATTAAAAGTTGGTACAATTTGTGCAGTCAAGAAACAACTTGCTACTCCACACTCTAAAACACTGCAACTCTTTACATAATTCAGCTATTGATTATCCTCTAAAGCAGACTCGAGGACCAGTACTATCTGGCACGTTTGTTTTATTGATCTCAAGTGCTGTGTTTTTGCAAGCTTGTGGTATATTGCGCCCTCTATAAGCTCTGCAGATGTATGCTATAAAATTTTGGTAATCCTGCAGCCAGAATTAGTAGAATATCTTCATCCATGTTGCTCGTAGTCAATACGACGAATGGAAAGGAAAACACAGAGAGATTTGAGGTACTAACTTCTTGAAGAGGCTGATTATTTACTAGCACCCATGGTACAAACCTGTGATTGGGGTTCAGGCTTGCAGTTTCATCTGCATATGCTTTCTCTAGCTGTGAGTTCATATACATTAGGAAATTATTAATTTCTACTTTAGTAGATATTTAAACAATAGAATAAAGTTTCTTGGTTGCATGATTTTCGAATGATCAATATTAATGAGAATTGTGCCATGGTCTACTGCTTGATCAACATTTGACCGACAGACGACTAAAACTTTTGTTCTTACCCGATATCCAAGCCCATTGTTATAGCAATTCTTGATGGGAGTTTGGCTCAAACCAGTTGCAGAAAAACAAGATTGCCACGAGGACTGCCTGTTTTCCAGATGCATTCGTTCTACACAATTTATAAACTTGAAATGTGTTTCCTGTATCATCAACAACTTGTGGAATTAGTAAAATTTGATTTTAACTAAATATATATATATATATATATATATGTAACAACCTATTGTTCTTATACTCGTATAATGCTGACTATTTTCAAAACACTTTATTTTATAGTATGTGTCAGAGGGGTTACCAGATTTGACCAAACCTTGATAGCACAAGCTTCCACTGTGTTTAGCAGACACTCCGCTGGTCCATGCTGCATGTTAGTTTAATCATCAAATTGAAATGCAGACACGAATGATGTTTAAATAGGCAAGACCTAACAAGTCATAGAACATGACAGAATTTGTTTGCAAGAATTTAATTTGCAGAGAGTTCTTCGTTGGAATAATTATAAAATTAAAATCGAAGCGGGAGCCTATTAGTTTTGGCTAGAATGAGTGGCGAACGCAGGATTTAGCATAAGTGGTGTCAGTCCCACAATCGAACTTGTACACAGGTTTGAGTCTGGGGCTATGGGGAATTTAAGAATTTACTTCGTGTCCCAAATTAATGTATACTTTGTATTTTTCTCAAGAGGTGTCTGCCTGTTGTATATCTACATATTGGTTTTGTAATTAACAAGGTATGGAAGAATCAAATTGGTGTATTATTTCATGTACTGATACATATATATACATGTATATCAGGTGCTAACTAAGGAAAGAAAATAAAAGAGATTCCTACAAATCTGCTATCTATATATGGGTTATGTACACTACTAAGAAACAGTCTATGTTCATTGTGTAAAGTGTCTAGGTTCATTCTGTAACACTCTCCCTCAAACTGGAGCATATATATTGATCATGCCCAGCTTGTTACAAAGGTAATCAACTCGAGTGCCATTCAATGCTTTAGTGAACAAATCACCTAGCTGCTCTCCTGTCTTCACGTAGCTAGTGGAAATCAAGTTCTCTTGAATCTTTGATGATAGACTATAATTATGTATTTTAGTCGCTTATTACACTCTAGTTTAGTGCACTTTAATTGAGTTTGCGCTTTAATCGCTAGTGTTTTGCACTAACGGTGTGTTTTATGCCTTGTAGGAGTGATTCCGAGATATATAGATGTTATGGAATGAATTCAAGTGATTTGGAGCTTTGAAGTCTGAGTAAAAGCCCAAGGAATTAAGCCGGGATCGTATTCGGGGATCAACGGATGATAAAACAACAAAACGAAGACTCGAGGAGGCATATTGCGCACTGTCTAGTAAAATAGACATAACTTTTTGCTCAGAACTCCATTTGGGCTTCACAATATATGGTTCGAAAGCTAACTCAAAGGGCTACAACTTTCATGTTTTACGTTTTCCCAAATTCCAAAGGGAACAGGGTAACACACCGCGGTTATGGTAGGACCGCGGCAGAACACTGCTGCAGATTCTGATGGCCACTCTGGCCGCGGTCCTGGCGTAACTGTGGTAGGACCGCGGCAGGATGCGTAAATTTCAGGGACCAAAGTTCAAAACACGGGATTTTAAGCCCTAAAACCTATATTAAACGTAGGAGGCCAGCCAAGAAAAGGAGGGGACATATTTTAGACACAAATTAGACCTAAGGAAGGGCAAGAGGCAAGGAGGATCATTGGGCATCAATCTTTAATCTTCTTCTTTGTTCTTTTACCTTTGAATATGAATTCTTTTGTGATTTTTGTTATTTTCATGAGTAGCTAACTTTTCTAATCTAAGGTTTTGGTGAAACCCGTTGGGGATGAATTGGTTGTTATAAGTAATATAGATTTGAATTAGTTTAATCTCTATTTGTTCAACTATGTTTTGATTGTGGTTAATTGAAAGGATCCTCAATTAGTCGTTCCTATTTATTATGTATCTGCTTGAGAGAGAGTGTATATTTAGGTAGTTGTTTGAACAACATCACTCCCGGAGTATAGGCGAGAGTCATAACCGAGGGTTTAGAGGTTGGATTAGAGATAACGATACCTCGGGTGCAATCTAAGTGAATTGTAATGCGAATCTAGCTAGCGTAGCTTGAGATAGTGCGTCTAGTAAATTATCATAATTGCTTGAGAGAGATTTATTATAGCTGGAGAGTTCATGATTGATAGAGGTAACTAAGTCAACGCTATAAGAAACATACAACCAAGAAAATCAACAACGGGGGAAACCATTACCTTAGACCTTTATTCTAATTGTTTACAATTTAAGCATAGTTAGTTTTCAGCTGTTTATTTATTTTCAATCTTGTCTTCTTGGTGATATTAAGAGATACAGCTAAGCCTTAGTTCTCTGTGGGATTCGACTCCGGACTTTTAGACCAGATTATATTTGCAGCGACCGCTTATCCTTTTTAGGACTAGAGTTGGGCGTGATCAATCTTCTCCCGAATAAAATGACAATCAACTTCAATATGTTTGGTTCTTTCATGATACACTGGATTTGAGGCAATATGGAGTGCAACTTGATTATCACACCAGAGTTTTGATGGAGTAGGATGCTTCAACCCAATTTCAGTTAAAAGGTGATGTATCCACATTACCTCACATGTTGATTGTGCCATAGCTCTATACTCGGATTCTGCATTGGACCTAGATACAACATTTTGTTTCTTACTTCTCCATGATACCAAGTTTCCACCAACAAATACACGGTAACCAGTTGTAGATCTTCTATCAATCTTGGATCCAACCCAATCCGCTTCTGCAAAACATTCAATGCGAGAATGACCGTGATTGTTGTATAATATGCCAAGTCCAAGTGCTCTTTTTAAGTAACATAGGATCTGCTCCAAAGCCTCCCAATGTTTAACTGTGGGCACGGACATGAACTGGCTAACCATACTCACAGCAAAAGCAATATCTGAACGAGTCACAGTGAGATAGTTTAATCTCCCAACTAACCTCCTGTATCTATCTGGATCATTAAATGGATCATCATCATCTTTCATAAGATGCAAATTGGGAACCATTGGAGTACTACAAGGCTTGGCAGCCAGCTTACTAGTTTCTGCTAGTAAGTCAAGAATATACTTTCTCTGAGATAGAAAATCCCCTTCTTGCTTCTAGTTATTTCTACTCCCAAGAAGTATTTCAGTTGTCACAAGTCTTTTGTATAAAACTTAGTATGCAAGAAAGACTTGAGAGAAGAGACTCCTGCATAATCACTCCCTGTGATAACAATGTCATCCACATATACAACAAGGAGAATAGATCCAGTTGTTGATTGCTTGTAGAAGACAGAATGATCACATTTGCTCTTTTTCAGCCCACATTCTTGAATTGCTTCACTAAATTTATCAAACCAAGCCCGGGGACTCTGCTTCAAGCCATATAAGGATTTCTTGAAATGACAGACCTTGCCATACTCTCCCTGAGCAACAAAACCAGGTGGTTGCTCCATATATATACCTCTTAATGGATATCACCATGAAGAAAATCATTCTTAATATCCAATTGATGCAAAGGCCAATTCTCAGAAGCAGCTAGAGAAATAAACAAGCGGACAGAAGTAAGTTTGGCAACCGGAGAGAAGGTGTCTGAATAATCCACCCCATAAGTCTTAGCATACCCCTTAGCCACAAGTCTGGCCTTAAGTCTCGCCACAGAGCCATCAAGATTAACTTTAATCGTGAAGACCCACTTGCATCCCACTGCTTTCTTTCCACTGGGTAAATCCACTAAATCCCAAGTGTGGTTTTTCTATAAGGCATGTATTTCCTCAAGCATTGCTTCAAACCATCTAGGATGATTCAAAGCCTCATTCACCATTTTGGGTATAGAAACAGAGTTTAGAGACACAATCAAAGATCTAGATGCAGGGGACAAGTGGTCGTAGGAAACAAAATTAGCAATAAAATATGTGGATTTGCAAGTGCATATACCTTTGCGAAGAGTAATTGGAAGGTCAAGGTTTTCCGGAGGGTCAGGTGGAGGCAAATCTGATGATGAAGGAACTGATGACAAAGGAACTGGTGCAGAGCATGTATCATTTGTCTGTTGCCTCCGCGAGTAAACTTGAACAATTGGCGGTCTTGCTAACACAGTTGGAGCAGGTGCTGAAGGCAGAATAATGGATTGGTGCTCGATAGAACTAGGAGATGGAGGAACATCATCTCGTTGTTCTGTCAAAGTACGAGTAACCTGATATACTAGCCACTCATCTTCCTCCCCCTGACTTGTAGAAATGGGAGGTGCATGGAAGAATGGTGTAGTATCTGAAAATACCACATCCATTGACACTAAATATTTGCCAAGTTCAGTAGAATAACACTGATACCCCTTCTGAAGGGGAGAATAGCCAAGGAAGACACACTTCAATGCCTTGGGATCCAACTTGGTAACATATGGTCGAACATCTCGAACATAACATGTGATTCCAAATACCTTAGGTTCCACTGGAAATAATGCCTTGTTTGGGAAAAGGACACTGTAAGGCACATTACCACCAAGCACAGTAGATGACATGTGATTAATCAGAAAGCAAGTTGTAGAGACCGCATCAGCCAGAACTATTTAGGAACCTTCATTTGGAACAAAAGTGCCCGAGTTGTCTCAAGTAGATGCCTATTCTTCCTCTCAGCTACTCCATTTTGAGAGGGTGTATTAGCACATGAAGACTGATGTAGAATACCATGTTGTCTCATGTACGACTGAAATAACTCTGACATGTATTCTTTAGCATTATCACTCCTTAGAATACGCACCGAAGCGTTAAATTGAGTTTTGATTTCAGCACAGAAGGCAGAAAAGTGAGTAAACACTTCAGAGCGGCTCTTCATAAAGTAAATCCAAGTCATTCGAGAAAAATCATCTACAAAGGTGACAAAATACATATGCCAAGTTTTGGAAACAACGGGATATGGTCCCCAAACATCAGAATGAACTAACTCAAAAGCTGACTCAACTCATTTATTAACCCTTGGACTTAACAAGATGCGATGGCGTTTTGCAAATCGACATGACTCACAATCCAATGAAGAAATATTCTGAAACTGAGGACAAAGCTTCTTCAACAAAGGCAAAGAGGGGTATCCCAATCGACAATGTGCTTCAAAGGGAGACACAACACTAGAGCATGCAATAGACTGTGGATCTCATTCATCAAGGATGTAGAGATCACCAGATAAATATCCTTTACCAATAACCTATTTTGTTGTAAGATCTAGAAACAAACAATGATCGGGAAAGAATGCAACACAACAATTAAGGTCTTTGGTGATTTTACTAATAGAAATCAAGTTAAAGGCCAAGTTTGGTAGACTTAATACAGATGATAGGGCAATAGAGGAAGTTGGTTTAACAATCCCAGATCCAACACTGCTACAAGTTGATCCATCAACTACAGTAACTGGAGAGTGTGCTTTATGTGAGCGAAAGCTAAAAAAAATATTTGGATTACCTGTCATGTGATTTGTGGCACCTGAATCGATCACCCATTTATTGGAAGATGTGATAAGACATGTTTTATCTGATCCAGCAAAGGCAGTAACTGAAGAAGATTCCTTAACTGATTTATGATTTTGAAGGAATTTTAGAAACTCATCTGAAATCAAGATTGCTGGACTAGGAGTTGTTGAGCTATTATTCTTTACTATCATTTTTTTCTTTGAATAACAAACCGATTAAATTAATAGAGGTCCCCAAAGCTAAAAAACACCAAAATAGATCTCTGGTAAACACGAAGTGAACAATCTATTTAACAGAACTCCACTCCAATAATCCACTCAACCAAATCAGAGAACCAAACAAATCTTTCCCCAAATCAAATAAAATCAGAGACCAACAAAGTTTCTGATAAGGGAAGACCCAACAGATAATATCAAGTCTCAAATTGTAACAAATCGTCTTACAAGGAAGACTCAACAAATACCAATTCACAAGACAAGCAATCAGATGCAAGAATATTGTTCCACGACTACTTCAGTATCCCAAAAACAAACCAAACAGTAGAAGAACTCAAACCTGACCAAAATTGGTGTAATACAACCTTGTCCGAGTCTGTTCTTCACGAAAATAAGGTTATGTTATCAGACGATAACCAACAATCGATCGAAAATACAAGTTGATCTCGGAGAACAAAGCTGGACAAAGAATGGACCACACACGCACCTCACGTGTCTGCCGGAAAGTTTTGGTCAACTCCGGCGAGACAAACTCAACTCCGGCGAAGCCACAGATGTGGCTCTGATACCATGTAATTAACAAGGTATGGAAGAATCAAATTGGTGTTTTATTCCATGTAGTGATACATATATATACATGTACTTCAGCTTCTAACTAAGGAAAGAAAATAAAAGAGATTCCTACAAATCTGCTATCTATGTATGGGTTATGTACACTACTAAGAAACAGACCGTCTATTTTCATTGTGTATTCTGTAACAGTTTTCAAAAAAATATTACTCTGAATTATATTTATTAAGTACTGAAAGTTTTGGGAACACCCATTGGTTTAATTTGTCTCACCCAAAGGTCTTAAAGCTTAACAAGAGTAAGGCCTAAGCAAACCTTAGGTTAAGAAAGTAGGGAAATAACCAAATAAATGAAAGTTTTCATAAGCTGAAGTTTGGAAATTAAAATGTTGCTATTTTAGAGAAATTTAAAGAGAATAGGAACCTGGCAAATCCAGCTGGTGTTGGGTGCAATTTGAGTATTACCCCAAGGTACAAGCCTAAGAGTCACAATTGATGCAAGATCTGTTTCAAGAACCTTTGCTAACTTGTTCACAATGAAGTCAGCACAATATGGACACAACGATTCATAGTACAAGGACAAGTTAACCTTGTCTTGTGAAGACACATGAGATTGAAACATGAGCCATGAAATCAAAGAAAATGTAATAATAAGTCTAAAGATTTGATTATGAGATGCCATTTCCCCTTTTGGAACTAAAACTTTCTTCTTCTGGTCTTTTTATCTACACTTGCACTTCAACTTTTTTAACTTTTTCTTTTTCAGTTTACTTTAGCTTTTACGCCTATCTACACTTCCATTGGTCACCCCCACCAACCACAATAAATTGTTGAGTTATTAACGTCTGAACTTTTCAGGTCTGGTAGATGAGCAACTTGAAAAAAAAAAGAGTTTTTTTTTTTTATCTGCTTTAGAACTAATACAACAAGTAGTAAGCCTTGTTTTAGTTGCTAGAGTTCTTTTGACATGTTAAAAATGTAAATCCCAGAATTATTAGGTGGGATGGATTTTAAAAATCCGCTTTGATTTAACATTCTGTTTCATGCTTTAGAGCCAATATGGTATTAAAGCCAAATTTATCCAAGAATTACTCATGGAATCCTTGTCTTGCATAATTTTTGGTTCATCATTATACAACAAGTTAAAGTAAGAAATTTCTAACTTTTCTTTACCCGTTTATGGCTATGGATATAACAGTAACAGCTATGTCTCAATCCAAAAGAAGCTCGGATCGGCTATATGAATCCTTTTTGTCGCTCCTTTAAGTTTGTACAAATCCAATAGTATATAAGACAAAATAAAAAGAAAAAGGCACCGGAAATTCTCTGTATATTTTAAGAGGAAATTTCAAAAAGCACTGCAGTTTCATAGCTAATCCAATAGTATGTAAGACAAAATAAAAAGAAAAAAGCACCGGAAGTTCTCTATATATTTTTAGAGGAAATTTCAAAAAGCACTACAGTTTCATAGCTAATTACAATTCGCAGCTAGTGTTTCAATATTTACTATTCGTAGCAAATCTTCTGTTTCCAGGAGTATGTATTCAATGTATTTGTTCGCGCAATAAATACAATAAGTGTCAACTATATTCGTTCCCGCAACTAATACCACCCGTATCAACTGTATTCGTTCGCGCAACTAATACCACCCGCATCAACTGTACAACCAAAACGAAATACAAAAATACATGGGTATATAAAAGAATACAAACAACACAAATACAAGGGGGTATACATGGGTACATAACCACAAAAATATAGTCAAACATATATGGTGCAAAAAAAATCCCATACCTGGAAAAAATACATGCATGGTGCAAAATTAAGACGAAATACAGCAATGTAGAGATTTGCTGGAAAAATTCCTCCGACGGAATACGAAAATACAGGTAGATTTATTATAAAATTCAAATATAGTTACGAATTGTAATTTTCTGAGAGTATAGCTACAAACGATACAAACAGTATATAAGTTAGCTACAACATAAATTTTCCTATTTTTGCAAGTATATAAATCTCACATGACTAGAAAACTCTAAAAAAGCAATGGACCTAAAGTAGACATACTAATATGATTATAACTTAATACCAACTAGTAATTGGTATCACCTACATAGATCTTTTTTCTTTATTATGCCTTATTTTTCGTAAAATCGTTGTGGATTACAAGAGATAATAGATCTTTCGAGATAACTTTCTTCCATGTAATTTTAGATCTATCTCGTCTCTTTTAGTACTATATAATTTCACACCTAGAATACTGTTTTATGGCCTACGAGTAGTACTTTTATGGCCCATTCCAATTTCAGTATTAAAGGCAAAGTGCATATATGACTAACTTTATTCCACGCATATTTTTAATCAGTTTTTTTTTCTTTCATATAAAGGCATCTTAAGCTTTGGAATAGTGGTCCATATGTGGTTCTTGCTTTATTCTGATATGACTCATCAGAATTTCCTTCCACACGATTGAAAAGGAAGGGTACTTAATTATGTTCTGAAATCAAAATGGTTGAAATTTTAAAAAGACAAATCAAATTTAAGCAACTCTCATGCATAGAACAGTTTCTGATCTTATAGAAAGTCCCACATTGGGGTCTATATATAAGTTGCAGTGATTTCTTAATGGTGTGAGCCATTTTCGGGAAAACCATAGGCCTAAAGCGACAATATCACACAATGTTAAAAGTATCTTTGGGCCGTTTTATCCCAAAAACGGGTATCATAGCCAAGGTTCAACGGGATGAGTATGGTGATGGTAGGACGATGGCGTGAGGCTCGATTTCTTTACCCTTGCGAGCTTGGAGACGCACACACACAAAAAAAAGCTAGTTAAGGACTTCGGTTGTCATAAATACTTTGAAAATGTGGGTAGCACATAGTGAGTCTCGGAAATTGACGAGATCCGTGGGGAGATCCGTGAATCGTGTTGGGTGTGCGAACAAAGTCGCACATTGGTAGCTTAAAAAATTAGAAGCCTACATATAAGGTGTAGGGATCTCTCAATCGTGTGAGGCTTTTTGGGGGAAAACCGTGCGGGTTTGACCCAAAACAGATAATATCACACCATGTTAAAAGTATCTTTGAACCGTTTTAACATGATTTAATCTCTTCTAGTCCATGTGAAAGTGGTTATCCGCATCGGAAACTCAACTTCAGAAGCTAGTGACTGGCAGGTGGTGTAGGTCCTGTATAAGCCTTGCAAACATATTTTCCATAGTTTAGATAATCCTGCAGTTAGAATAAAGTATTGGATTAATCAAAAAACATTAATAAGGGATTGTTAGAAAAACAAAAAACGATGAGAGATTGAAAACTAACAACTCCAAGAGGGATCCATTTCCTCATGACTTCATTTCCCCAAGTTCTCACTTGGATGAGTGACATGTGTCTCATTTTAATATCAATGGTTTAAATTCAATTAATTAAAGCAGGCTCTTAACCATAGTTAGATAATAGATTCTTCCATATATTACTCCCAAAAAAATTGGCAAGCCCACAAATGTAGCTACAAATTTCCTTCTTTTCCGTAATATTTTTCCAAATATTTGGCAGTAATCTCACATTTCTGGAGCAGGTTTTCTTCAAAAAAATAGATTGCATGTTTGCATAATTGGAAAAAGGAAAAATACATAGTATAAAACTCTAAATTAATCACAATCTAATGCAAAAGAATTATTTAAAAGCAAATATCATCAACTATTATACGCTTTTTCCCCCTTGATCCTTGTACGGTGGCTGCCCCACCAACTGTGGTGGTGGATGACAAGAACCAAAGAATATATCTCTTTTAACCTTAACGACATATACGAAAAAAAAGTTACTGAAATTTTGCGCTCACTAAATTCGCTTAAGTGCAGATATTTCTTTTCTTGTTTATAGCTCGTGTATGTTGTGCTTTAGATGTCAATTGTTTAACATTAGAGAGATTTAAATATTTATTTGTGAGAAGCTAAAAAACGAAAGTTTAGCATATTGTTTCACTAAATTTGAAATGAGTTCGCGAGACTAAAATAATAAGCATTTAAACAATGAAGGAAAATAAAATAGTGATCTACAATACGTCATCCAAATATTTGGAAAATCATTTTCAAAAATATGGAAATTTGCTGCTACCAATTGTGAGATTACCAAATCTTTTGGGAGCAAGTAAATGAGAGAAATCTATTATCTAACTATGGTTAAGAGCTTAATTTAATTAATTAGATTTAAGCCATTGATATTAAGATGAGACACATGTCATGCATCTAAGTGAGAACTTGGGGAAATGGAGGCATTAGGAAATTGAGGGGAGTTAGGTTCCCTCCAAGAGGATCGTTGTTCACTAGGACCCGGAAGAAAGTTATGAGGTGGGTTCAGACTAGCAGTTTCGTTGGCAAAGTTCGCTTCAAGCTGCACCAATTTCTTTGCATTAGTAACATAGATAAAGTCTTGAAAATTTCAAAATTTTAAAAAATAATCTTATTAATAGATTTAAGTTAAAGACTTTTTATCCTACTATAACAGGCCAATTACTATTTTTATCATATTATCATTTAATACTTATCATAAATACTACCTATAATTACTTTATAAGTGCTATGTCTGTGCTATTATGCATAGAACTTAAACTCTTTATCCCGTGTTTGATAAATATTTGATGTTGTTTCAAGTATTTCGAATGTACATAGTGTATAGCAATTAACAGGTGAGAGATGTGCCTTGGGAGAATGAGAAAACATATGTAAAGCATGAAAAAACTGACATCTATTCCTATTGTGCTCTTATGGCAAATAGTAACATTATCAGGATATAGAAATCGTATTATTTTTGTCTTTGCTAGTGTATGGGTGAAAATCGGACCACAAATGGGTCATCATCAAAAGGAAAGGTAAGGGGTCGACCAAGCCGTAGTCATACCCACGAGGCGTAATGGCGACGAGTATCTTGACCACTGCCGAGATCGAGCCATCAGAAAGCTTACACGGCAGAACATATGTCGTAATACTTGAGCGAGTAAGGAAGGGTATAGTCAAGAGAGGGTACGCTGGTTAAAGACCGTTGGATAAAGGAAAAGATTGGTAATATATATATGACAGAGAAAGGCAAGAAAAGGGGGTTCCCGAAAAAGAGAAAAAGGAACAGAAGAACGGGAGGAGACCTCCAACGACAGAGAAAAAGCCTAGATTTTGGTTACAAACCTTTGTAATCGTCATTGTTGAATCAGAAAAGATAGATCTCATAGTTATCAACGAGATTCCTTCCTTTTCTTCTTTGCTCTTACAAGTACGGAACAATGTATCAAAGATGTAAGCTTATCATTTACGTTTGATGTCTGTTAATCATCCAAAGAAATGTTATACAAGCTCGGTCTCATTCGATTCTCGTATTCAATATGCTTAGATCTAAAGTTAATTATGTTTGGCTAAGATTTATCCTCCATTTTCTTTATTAATTAGTTTAACGAAAAGCTTAGCACTTTTTGGTCAAACAATTTGGCGCCGTATGTGGAGATTTCTTAGCCAATTTTTTTTAGTTTACTTTAGATCTAGAACTAGCCAAGTATCACTTCCAGGTTGTCATAGCCTCGGCATCTCGGGATAAACACCAACTCGAAAGAATGGTAGATAAGCTTTTGAGATAACCGTACCAATCTAGGTCAGATCTCTACGTAAAATAAAAATTGTGACCGATGTCTATGCAAAACCCACGCCTCACCTGTAGCGATGGGTTTGGCACGTCATATGCATGTTTAAAGTAGAACCGAGCAAAGCCCTCTAAGTTTGGTACGACCGAGCAAAGCCCTCTAAGTTGTACCATACTACAAATAACAGAAACGGTTCGGCAC